TTCATAATCAGCCCAATTTTGATCAACAACACACTTCCCAAGCCGATCATGAACACTTCTATTTTTTAAGCGCCGATCCATATTGTCATGATGATACTCAACTCAAGCATGGATAGACCGGCGGTTGGCTTGAGATTGCCTAAACTCCCAATATTATTCACTACATTTTGGGCAATTATTTCTAGGTGGCAATTTCAAACCTTCATTCCAACAATGTCTGAAAAAGGGAAAATTCCAATATAATTCAGCTTGTTCTCTTTCATACCTCTCCTCTTCTTGTTGATGCTGATATTCATTCTTTTCTAACCAACGCTGATAATCCATTTTCTTCTGCCATTGTCATTTATTCAACAAAATTTGAGATGAAACACGTGGCTTCATCGCCCCATTTCTTGACATCTCTCCCTACTCAAATTGACTCTTCTGTTGGTCACGACGCCTTTTAATTTCTCTATATTCATTAGCCGATATTTGCATCTCTGGATCAACTGTTCTAATTTCTTTTGCCCTAGTTGATGTTAGAACTTTAGTTTTCCCTTTGAGCAACTTGGTATCAACCATATTCTGATCTTTTGGGAAAGGATTATCATCAACTTTCATCTTTCGAGGTGTATCAAATTTAAGCTTCCCTTGCTAAATAGCCCTCTGTATATGTTACCGGAAAATTCTGCACTCATTAGTAGAATGAGAAATAGTGTTATAAAATTTGCAGAACTTCTTGTTCTTCAACTGGTCAGGAGGTAATATAACATGATTGGTGGGCAATTTGATTTGTCCTTTCTCAAGCAAGAAATCAAAGAGCTTTTCTGATTTTATGACGTCAAAATCATAATTTTCTTCAACTCCTTTTCCCCAAGGATTTGGCACCATCACTGTCTTCTTACCCCAATTCCATTCAGCCACAGCAATCTCCTCTTCTTCATCATCCTCATCATCATCATGAACTGAATATGGATTATAAGCTTCAGCAATTGCGGCATTCTTTTAGAATCGGGTATCTCTGCGCATATTCTAGAATTGGCTATTAAGTGCTGCCACTCGTTGAGCCAACTAGTCTAAATTGTCAAACTCTTGCCCAAGCAGTTTTTCTCTCCATGTCGGCAACATTCCTTGAACAGCCAAAGCAGCTAGCTGATCATCAGTCAGATTCAATAAAAAGAACAAATTTCTTATTTCTCGAAACCTCTGAAGAAACCCAGCACCCGATTCATTATTTCTTTGCTTCATGGCCATCAAATCTGTGATTTTCTTTTCTCCTGTCCCTGTATAGAAATATGTATAAAATTTCTTCTCTAAGTCAGTCCAATTGGGAATAGAATTAACTAGTAACAATAAAAACCAGGTGAAAGCTGGTCCTGACAGGGACAAAAAGAAGAAACGAACTCGATGAGCTTCTTCAATGGATGCTTCACCCAACTTAGTAAGATACCGACTGACATATTCTATTGTAGTGTACTATCTTGACCAGTAAACTTAGTAAATTCTGAAAGCCTGTAATTTATAGGAAGAGCAACCAAATCATACCACTCTAGATACGGACGTTTGTACGAAAAGGTCTGCCCTTTTGGTTTTAAACCAAACCGATTCTTCATCATTTCGGTTATTCTGAGCAACAATTCATCAGCATTTGAATTTGGATCTCTTTGCACCTGCTGACCCATCTGCGGATTAAAATTTTGGGTACCTTGATACCCTGGATGTGGAATCATACGAATGGTATTATAATCTGTGCCATAATGATATCCTTATAGAAACTCTATCTGTTGGGTCCTTTGCTGATTTGTTGTTTGAAGTCTCTGATTGCAAATGTTGGGATCTGTATCTCTATGAATCCTTTGAACTAATGGTGCTATTTATTGAGCCAACGGCGGTATTTGGCCTGATGTGCCAAAATTAACCATTTGATTCTGAACTTGCCCTATCTGCTGTTGCACATGCTACACTAATGATCCATTATACTGTATTTGATTAGTACCCTGAACTTGCTCAGATGAGCTCTAAACTGCATGGACATCATCATTGCCAGCTAGTGCTACTTCTTGATGGCTAGTACCGACTTGATTAGTCCCCCTGAGTCGACGGATGTGGAATGTTGTAATAAGTCGGTCCAATCTGATCAATTGGATATCCATGAAACACCTCCTTCATGGTATTGTGGAATGTATTCAAGAAAGTTGTATTATGATTCAACATGGTATTATGAACAGATTTGTTAACAGCATCTACAAAGAAACGTCTATCATCAGCTTCATCTATATCTGACTGCCCATGTATCAAAACTCTTGGTAATGGATATTTCTGAACGACTTTATTGTCACGTGTCTTGGTGTATGACAACAAACACATGTTCTGAAACTCCTCTATAGCTTTACTAATGACATCCTTATCCTCATCAGGTAAGTCTTCATAAGGCACCATAAGAATGTCCTTATTGTTGTAAGCTGCCATGATGATTGTGGGGTCCCACCGGGCGTGCCAGAACACATGTCGGCGCAAAAAACGGGGCGATGCGCCTAACACGCTGCAAGCCGAAATGATCTGAGCGAGGTTAACCCGGAGATCTGCTTGGCTTCAACACAGGACTAGTCGATCCTGAAGATCCCAAATGCGTGCAAGTCAATTTGACCTGCAATTGATAAGGAGAGAAAGCTTATCAGTAATTTAGGGTGGAACATGCAGGTGTTGCCCCGACAGTTCCAAGTACGCTGCTTCGAGAGCAGCCAAGCAGGGGGATCAGTTTGGCAAATGATACCACGAGCTCTTCGGGAGTTTTCCCTCTCTTGACTTGCTCTTTACCTTACGCATTTAAGCTTTGACATTGCGCTTATCTTTTGTGACCCTTACCTTTCCTAGACTAACATGTAATATATGTTAGTTGTTATGATTTTATCAAGGATGCATAACTTTTTGTGGGTTGGCCGTTAAGACCGAGCACACTATATATAAAACCATAAGTGAATAATATGGTAGCTAGTTTATGAATTTTCTAGTGTAGATCAAGTTGAGCCCTAGGTTTAAGTTTTAAGTGACCTAGTTCACCCCTCTTTCGCTCACATGCTACTACAATTGTTTTATAAAAGAACATAGAAAGCTTAAAAATAAATTACCAGTATTGATATATCATAATGTTTCAGTTAAAATATATAAATTTATCTAAAGTAATAGCTGGCATGCTGTATTGTAAGAGAGTATCAATATAATACAAAGTGAATTGTTTATGTCATCGTCAAAGAAAACTTCTCTTACGACTTGTACATTGTTAAATTAAGTATTATCCTACATATGCATATTTACTTGGTATACATGGTGGTACCTAACATGTGTGCTTACTTTTAATTTAACAATGGTTGAAGTGTGTAACTAGAAACATATATAAATCATGCTTTGTGGTTATTGAATTATTTTCTATAATACCTTATATCGGTATTTACACGTAGATTTGAGGTATATTTTAGTTTATTTTTTATAACAGCAAAGTCAGGAAATTTAGATACAATTCAAATAGATTATTTTATTATGTTATTAGATGGTAGATGTGAATAATTAAGATTTAAAATTAGAAAGTTGTTTTAGATTGTCTTTCATTACACTGGTGGTTTCAGGGTCTGCTATTAAACCATCTTGTGTAGGCGGAATTGAGACGCAATTTTATGAGTTATTTTGAATTATCTTTCATGATGGCATATGCCACTAATTTAGATACAAATTTAGGAGTTGGGTTATGTGCTTTAATAATAATGACATATGTGAGTAATTTTTTAGAAAACATTATAAATCCAATTGTTATTATTGGTAAAGATGATTAGAGATTTAGAGTTAATCAAATTAAAGGTCATATATTTCTGGTTATTGTGAAAAATCTTAAAATTTATCTTTTTCCCTAACGCGCCTAGCGAGGAACAACGTGGAATCGTGGATGATCTTTGGTAGGTCTTCAATTAGTAGATTAAGATTAGGAAAAGGAAAATTTCGTGTTAGTCTTCCTAAAGTAGCGCCAACATATATAACAAAGCATATAAATTAAAGCTATCTTTTCAAAAGAAAATATATAAAAAGGTTATCAGTTATATATTAGTTAGAGCATCTCCAAGAGTTCCCAACAATTTTTTTCGCAAAACCATGGAGTTTTCTAACTCACCAAAAATTATTGGAAGGAATAAATAAGACCATCTTCAACAGTTTCTAATAATTCACTCATAAAATATAGAAGACAATTTTACATCAAAAATCGTGTACTATTTCTAAATTATCCTAATCACTTTTATATATTATTTCTCTCTTGTACATTTGCATCAAGAACCACTTCTACCATTTATTTTTTTCCCACGCCCTTCCACTTTTAGATTGGCACATGGATACACGTGTCTCCCTCGCGCAGATATACCATGCGATCGGTCTATTTTTCCAAGCGCGGAAAGACTGAGAACAGTTGGAGATTTCCATTCTTACCAAAAATTATGAAAGCTTTATTGGGAACTCTTGAAGATGCTAGGTTAAAGATTGAGGTCATGCATCAGCGGCCAGCTGGAGCTGACAGGGAAGTTCAAAAGAAACACACCAGTATCTGCTCAACATCCGCTAATCTTGTCAGTATGTATGGCTCGCGCATACTTTTCGTCGTGCGCCCTTGTGTTGGATGCTTGCACAAAAAACTGCGCTAGCTCATGATGAATCTCAGCCGAACATAAATTATCTTCTATTTATGCCAATGTAACACAATTCAGATACTGGTCAACACTGTGTGCTGGGTCGAGTGGCTAACTGCACTGCGTGACGAAAATGGTCGCTGGCTTTCGGAGACTAAACATGGACGAAGTTTGGCGTCCGATTTGGATGTTTTCTGGTCCCCTAGTGGCATGCAGTCATCGGTGGGCCCTATAAATATGCATGGAGTAGGGCATCGCCTTTGCACACCACAATCACACAGCCAACGAGCTAGCAGAAGCAAGCAGCTGGGGGCTGGCTAGTGTGTGTAGCTACCGAGAAAGCAAAGCATAGCCATGGCTGCCTCTGCTTCTTGCCTGTTGGTGGTGATGGCAGCGCTGGCATCGGCAGCGTCGGCGCAGCTGTCGTCGACGTTCTACGACACGTCGTGCCCGAACGCGCTGTCCACCATCAAGAGCGGCGTGGACGCGGCGGTGATGCAGGAGGCGCGTACGGGGGCGTCGCTGCTCCGGATGCACTTCCACGACTGCTTTGTGCATGCAAGTCCCATATGCAGAACGAAACTCGCTCATCTCTTCTTCTTATTCTTGTGTTTTCTAACATAAGTCGATCGAGATATATAGGAGTAGTACGTCGTACGTAGTACGTTGACAGCAGTAAATAAATTATATACACACACAGGTGCAAGCAGCTAACTAGAAATTTGTATGTAAACCTCACTGCAGGGCTGCGATGCATCCGTTCTGCTCAACGACACGTCCGGGGAGCAGAGCTCGCCTCCGAACAAGGGATCGCTGAGGCGCTTCGATGTCATCGACAACATCAAGGCGCAGGTGGAGAAGGTGTGCCCGGGAGTCGTCTCCTGCGCCGACATCCTCGCCGTCGCCGCCCGAGACTCCGTCGTCGCGGTGAGATAGATCCCTATGCATATTCCTTTCCCGTTTCCGTTGTTGCTGACTTGCTGTTGGTTTGGAACACGTGCCCAGCTCGGCGGGCCTTCGTGGACCGTTCTACTGGGGAGAAGGGACTCGACCGCTTCATTCCCGAGCGAGACAACCGACCTCCCAGCTCCTACATCTAGCCTCCAACAACTGTTATCTGCGTTCAGCAAGAAGAACCTCGACGCAACCGACATGGTTGCTCTCTCAGGTGCACATGCATGCTCTAGCTATAATGCATACGACATACCTTTGAATCTTTGGTTCCAGTTCCAGACGAGGGCATTGCACTTTGCAGGAGCTCACACCATCGGACAGGCGCAGTGCTCGAGCTTCAACGGTCACATCTACAACGACACCAACATCAACTCCGCCTTCGCCACGTCGCTCCAGGCCAACTGCCCTGCATCAGGCGGCACCAGCCTAGCGCCGCTGGACACCATGACCCCCACCACATTCGACAACGATTACTACACCAACCTGCTGTCGCAGAAGGGGCTCCTGCACTCGGACCAGGAGCTCTTCAACAACGGCAGCACCGACAGCACGGTCAGCAACTTCGCGTCCAGCACATCGGCCTTCACCAGCGCCTTCACGTCGGCGATGGTGAAGATGGGGAACCTCAGCCCACTCACCGGAACCAATGGGGAGATCAGGCTCGCCTGCGGGATTGTGAACTCGTCCTAAGATCGTGCAATCGTGCATGGACTACCAACGAATATATATATATATATATATATATATATATATATATATATATATATATATATATATATATATATATATATATATATATATATATATATATATATGAGTATGTATAACGAGTGATGTACGCGTACGCCACCTCGATTTCTTGTTCCATATCAAGTGTATGGAACGGAGAGAGACCGTACTTATTGCCGTGTATCGATCTACATATATATGTAACGAGGACCTCTCATGCAAAGGCATTGGGAGATTAATTAAGTATAAGTACTACTATCACTTTCCCTAGCTATATATATGTTTCCACATTTCCTATAGTTCATCATATGCTCCAAATTGACGTCAAGTTCAGGCAACGCTCAAATCGCCGAACATCTGATTCGGTGGCTGGAGCTAGGAGAGGAAGGTTACCGGGGAAGGAGCTTAATGGCCAGACTTAAAAACAGGTCGAGGGTCTGTATGCAAACCCGGCGGTTGCGGCGGTTTGAGGGTGGTGTGGTGAGGCGGCGAGAGCCGAGAGCAATATGTAACGTAAGATTCTTAGTTATGTGTTGTAGCATGGACTGATGGACTAGTTACTACGGTAATTAAAATGAATCACCTATATCCATTTACTTCTATCTACCGGTCCTCCTAAGAGCAGCTCCAGTGTTGAGTTGAAATCGAACCATGGCAAAAGAAATCGTACACAACACATTGTAGACATCGACTGCTACCTGTCAGACGCAAAATCGGACTCCAAACTTGCGTCGAACCCTAAAATATTTGCTCACCAATGCATCAAGACAAGGCGATGCACAATCAGAAAAAGAGAGTACTTTTTTATTGTTTCTGGGTACTACAAATCGATGCCCACACTACAGCTTGCCGAACTCTGTTTCCATTCGCTTCTCGTCCACACAGCACGGTTCGACGCCACACTGCAAATGCCCTAAATTAGCGCCAAAGTACATGTAAACCGTGTGCTAACGTTGGGGCAAATAACAGTTCATGCTGTCAGTTTCCATACCCTACATAGGAAAAATCTGAAGGTACCTTATTCATCAAAAAGAAAAGAAAAAGGCTAGCTCCTACAGTATCAGTCAGGCTGAGGCCACCAGCGCTGCTAGCTGGAGCCTGACGACAGCCTGTTCGCTTGGCTGATAAGCCATGGCTGAAAGTACTGTTGGCTGATTTGTTGTGATAGAAAAATACTGTTCGTTGGCTGAAAAAATACAACTTATAATTCAAGCGAACAGGGCAAAAAGAAATACCAGTATCTCCTCAACAGCTGGATCGATGGGCTAATCTTGTCGGGGCCAAGACATGCAGCTAGAAGGCGTTTTCAGTAAGTGTGAAATGACTGCACAACGGTCAGAGCAAGATGGAAGTGTCTTGGACGAATGCTGACCGGCCTCTTGGCGAAATATCGACGTGGATAGATCCTTTCTCCCTGTCTCGTCCACTAGTGCAAAATTTCCACACAGGACATGGAGCATGAAAGACTTTGGAGGCTGACGTTTGGCCAGCTTACGACGAAAACGGCGTTCTGCAAGGCTACAAATGCATTTGTTATATATACTGCTAAGATCCTGAACTGAACTGACATATGAACTGAACTGGCGTGCTTGCAGTTTCAGTTTAGTAACCGAACAGAATAATGTTGCCTTATGGTAATTTATCAAGCTGATGAACTCCACGTCAGCGGCCAGTTATTGAGTACAGATACTCTCATTAAAAATAAATGGCTGAGCACACAGTGCACACATGACACATCACATGCACTGCCGTACAGCACGACTCCATAGAATTTTTTTCGCACATGCCTAATGTTCATGGTCCGGTTTAACCGGTTTCGGGGTAAAATCCAGCCCGATCCGTAGAAGATGTTGCGTCGGCGGTACGGAACCACCGGGTTCACGGTTTCCACGGTTAATCACGGCAAAGAGTGAGCGCCGTTGATGCCGACGCACGAACCAAACTGGCACCACTCGGCCGCGCAGCTGCTGGTGAACGCCGGCGCCGAGCTTAGCCACCGGCGACGTGGCGCTCTACACCCGCGCGGCCGTGGAGCCGGACGACGTCGCGCTCCACGGCAGGGACGCGACGGTGGCGTGCTGGGACGACGGCGTCACCGTGCAGTGCACCAGGGGAACGTCGGGATGGTCAGGGTCCTGCACTCCTGCTCGAGCACGGCGCCGACATCGACAGGGAGGACGACGGCGGCCGGACCCCGAGGCCCATGGCGGACCAGCTCGACCACCGCGAGATGCAGCAGCGGTTCGGGTCGCCAGCAATTGGGAGATCATGGGCGCGTCGCCGATAGAGTGGATCTCCTTGCTGCCCCTGTTGCCGAACCAGTAGCTCCCTGCTGCTCCAAATCGTCAATTCGAAAGCTCTTTATTCGATTTGCTTTTGAGCGAACGGTCACTGAAATTGAATCAGGGAGAGATTGAGGAAGCAGATGGAATTGACGAGGATGCTTCATTGCTTCTAGTAGAAGGATTTGATTGGGGATGGCATTGGTTGCGTCCCTGTTCGGATTCATCAATCCTTGCCCTACCTCCAACCTTCAGCATGCAGTTCTTGCCTGACGGACACCCCTGCGCTGCTGCGGTTCGGAACCGTATGCAAAACCAACCCGTATATGGCCTCTAAGTACGGTTTGCAATGGCCTGGTTAACGGGTTGGGTCCGGTTTAAACCGGACCATGTACAGGGCGAGTCTTCACTTCCCACAACTATATGCCTGCGCAGCAATGTGCTGGATGCATATGGACTAGCTGGCTGTCCAACTCCTACAGGCCTACGCCACTTGCCCGCGTGTCTTTGGTGACCATGGAGGACACTTTCAGAGACTGTTCCACTCCAAGACTGCGACATGCACAGCACTGAGGTCGATCTATCTCATGCATCCTGCGATTTTTTTTTATATATGACAGTGATATTTGTTTGGAATATTCTTCCTCGAGCAACGCATGCAGAGGATGAACTTTCAGAGACTGTTCTACTACAATGCTCGCTGAGTTGGCGTAGGTGGGGAGCGGCAGCAATAGTTTAACCGGACCTGTGTGACTCTGGGCCCTGGGGTTCGTCCGTTCGTGCGTTCTGAACTACTAATCGAATCGAATCGCATCTCGCGTGGCCCATTTTGCACGAATTTTGGTCAGGACTCACGGTTTTTTCTAGACGAATTAGGCGGCAAGTTTGGATGGGTGCTGTTGCCACACCGGAGTGGAGCGATAGATTGCACTTAACGCCAACACCAAACACCTACAGGTAAGACGTACTGGCCCTTATGTTAATGAAATGAGCATTATGTTATAGGCAGTGATCACGTTCCTAATTTTTTTTCATCTCTCTTTCTTGCCAAAGCTTTACTGCAAACAAATAGATAAATCCAGATCCATGATTTTTATTCTTTGTGAAATTGTGAAATAAGTATCGATGAATTGACCAAAAGAGGACTGTAGCTCAGTCTAAAATGATACTGATTCTACTAGTTGTGGATGGAGGTAACCTCCGTTGAATATTAACTAGAATCAATACTTGATTATAACAAAAAAAAAGTCCCCATACCAGTTCGCTATCGCTATTGAAAATTAACTAGAGTTAATCATTGATTTATAAGAAGCAAGATGATTTATGTTGCCTTTTGCTAGGTTATGAACAATACAAAAGATTAGAGATTAACTATGACCATTTTATCAGTAGTGGACAAGGGATGTACATTTGAATGTACACCCACCATTCCAAATTGTAACATGTTTTGGCTTTTTTAGATACATTACTACTTTTACTATGTACCTAGATATACCATATATCTAAGTGCATTGCAAAAGTACAATCAGTAGCATTATATAAATTATAAACCAAAAAGTATATATGACCATGAAACAACGATTACGCTCACCATATTGATTCGTGTGAGTTGGCCATTATCCTAGGCCGCCATTAATTGCAGAACACAGAAGCCAGATAAACTCTTGTATTATAAATGAAGTGTTAGCCATTATTTATAATACAATATAGTTATTGCATCATTATGTGAGGTGGTTCAAAGGAACTTATGTATAGCCCTGTTCGGCTTACCTCATATCCGGCTTGTTCGGCTTCTTTTTTCAGCGAGATCAGTGTTTTTCTCTCACAACAATTCAGCCGGAACAGTGTTTTTCAGCCAAGTTTCAGATCAGCGAAACGGGATACCATTTGGAATTATAGTTTTCCAACTAAAAATACTCGCAGTCACATCTAGAGCCTTGCGCGTTGATGCTAAGCCTATAGTGAAGTTCTAATTCGAGAACTAATTTTGCATACCTCTTTAATGGTATATCGTCTTTTATCTGATATAAAATACTAAACCGAAACTTGGTCTCTTGTAGTGGAAAGAAGAGAAAGAAATAAAAAGTGACTCATACAAGGATGGCCAACTCTTAGAGCTCATCGGCGACCTTTGC